TGTTTTATTTTTGTGGTGTATTAATTATTATGTATGGATGATGAACATGAGTTATTTGTTTTGTTTTATGGAATTATGTGATATTGAAGTATTGAGAATAAATTATTATTTTAATTGCCGTGTCCTAGCCGTACCTGTGTCCTAATTTTTTGAGATTTTCCGCGTCGCCGTGTCGCGTTCCTGTGTCCCCGTACCCTTGTACGTTCAACATAGCTTATCAGTCCCTGAAAACATAAACCTTTTTTTTAAAAATATCTGATTGTCTCATAGCCATTTTGTTGTTTTAATATGTTTTTTCTTGGGTCAAAGTTGTTTCAATATGTTTAAACATCGGTTCTTTAAAACATTCATCGGTTTTCTTTTTCCCGTTCGGTTTGTCAAGCTGAGAGAACCTCCTCCCCAAGAAGAATTTTTTCCGACCATGGATTATGGAGATACACTGGAAGAGCCTTTGCATGTTGAACTGAAGGAGAGAGCTCATCTTCTTGAAAAGCAGTAAATATCTAGATTTAGGACTAAAAATTGACCATTTCAAAAAAAGAAAATTAGTGTTGAAAAAGGAGTAGAAATTCACCTCTGCCTCTGAGAGCATTAAGCCTATTAACCGCATCTGCACTACCATAAACATAAACACACAAATAAATCCTCAAAATTCAGAAACACAAATATCCACTAAAAAAAACAAAAAAATTTATGATTTTCACAGAGAGTGAATTCATTGATGAACAAGAGAAATTTCATTAAATTACCTTTCAAACAGATTCAAAATGCCATCAACAACAGCAAGAACTTGTCCCATACGTTTTATTTCTACAACCAATCAAACAAAAACCATGAGTCGCTAAGCAAAACTCATTCAAATGAAAGATTTGTAAGAGACATAACACAGATCTAGCCCAAACTAGACAATGGGTTAGATTTACAAACACAATACCAAGAATTAAATTTAAAACTAGACCAAGAAATCCAGACACAACACAATACCAAGAAAAAGACGAGAATTAGAAGAAAAAAATAATAGACAAAAGGGGTGCGTATAGATTTGAAGCAGAGAAAAAGAGAAGTTTCAAAAAAGTTGTTAAGAAAATATAAGAGAGAGAGAGAGAGAGAGAGAGAGAGAGAGTAAAACGAGAGTGTGGTTAAGAAAATAATAATTGAAGAGAGAGAGAGAGAGTAAGCAGAGAGGGGTAGGAATCTTGGGATGAGAAAAAGGAGGAAAGCCATTTTGGTATACGTATAATTTCACTTAGTTGGTATAATGAGTCTTTTATTTATATATTTTTAAAATTTTAATTAAGTTTTTGTGTTGATTC